GGTATCCCAACTGCTAGTCTGACACAAATCCTTGACTGTGCGTTGGGATCTAGATTGAAACGTACACTGCCTAATTCAGACTCTTCATCATCCTGCTCCGTAGGATAGGTCTTTTGAACTTCTCCAAAGGTGTTTTCAATTGCTACTCTCGAGGCAGACATTAACTGAAGTGGCACTCATGGACAACGGACTCATACCACTTTCGGGCCCCTATCCTTTAAGATCTTCATTTCTGCCAGCGTCATCCATGGCAAGAAACGGATATCATAACTTATGTCCTCGCAAAGGATTGTGTCTTCCTTTTTTGCGAGCATCCATTAGATTATGGATTTCTCCGGAGAGACGAAGGATGCCAAATTTTTTCCTTCACTTTAGTATTGTCCTCTCGTAACCGAATCCTCCACAATACCGGGATCATACCACGCATTCTCATACACTCTTACCGATTTGTTTTTCAAGGAATTGGAGAGTGTCGAGGATTTGTTTTCAAATATGATAGTTACTGTGTGGTCTTTTAGCCATTGAATATTCAAATTGAAAAATTCTTCGTTCAAGTCAAACCTTGCGATGCCGTCACTCAATTGGGCTACTCCTATACTGAAACCAGCAGGAAAGATCCTATCCTTGAAACATGCGCCCAATAGATTTCCTATCTGGTTTTTCTCCTCTGGGGTATATACCCGATCAACTGATGATGAATCCAAACCATACAGTAAGCCGTTATTTGTCAGAGGCCTCGATTCTCTTGCAATAAATACTTATTATAATACCAGACTATAAAAGGAAGGATTGGGATTAAACCATATAATTCCCGACATTCATCTCCATCACATAAACCCCATCCCAGGGTTGGCTTCACAGGTCACTGTAGTTCACTTTGCTTCAAACTCACCGTTAGGTACTTCGATCTCCAGTAGTGTTCGAGTTGCACTTGAGCCGGGCAGCGGCGGTAACCAGGCCACTACAGGGAGGACAAGCCTGGCCCCAAAGGGGCCGTTGCCCGCTCAAGGTGAGCGTTAGCTGTCCAATTCCCGTACCAGCATGGCGAACCATGCGGTCAAGCGGCGCGCTGGCCGAAAACCTCGTTGTTGACGGTTAGCACCGTAGTCACCGAGGCATCCGCGAAGAGTTGCGCTATTCGCGTCAATCGGCACGGCGCTTGGACCACCTCCCCCGTCGTCTGTATTTTCCCTCAATTTGCAACCAATACTGGCTGCGTATACATGGATGCGTTTTGTCGTTTAGCGAGCGCTTTCCAGATGGGGAATGTCGCTCATTGCTTATACGGGTATACAGGGCGTCGTTGCGTGCAAAAAAGGGTTGCGGGCGGTCACAAGGCAACGACCGGTCGTTTGTGCGGGTGGTGTGGTTACGGTCGCTGGAGAGTGCTTTGTGGTCGTTGAGTGACGTGCGGGCAGCGTGAGGTCGTTGCATAGTTTCTAGTTCAGGAAAGTCTGGCGTCTGTCTCTTATACACATCTAGATGTGTATAAGAGACAGGGTATACAGGGCGTCGTTGCGTGCAAAAAAGGGTTGCGGGCGGTCACAAGGCAACGACCGGTCGTTTGTGCGGGTGGTGTGGTTACGGTCGCTGGAGAGTGCTTTGTGGTCGTTGAGTGACGTGCGGGCAGCGTGAGGTCGTTGCATAGTTTCTAGTTCAGGAAAGTCTGGCGTGATGCTAGCAGGTAATGGGGCTGTTTTCGGACGGAATGGCGGGCAGATGCATCGATCGAGAAAAATTGCATAGAAGTGTAGTTGTCTTTCGGTTATCCGACCGTTCGTTCTCGATTGAGATCGACGGTATAGTATTAGTTTGGTCAGTCTACGATTTTTTCAGTTTTTTTTCCCCCCCAACCGTCTGTACTTGTCCACAAACATGGCCTGGTTTGTGCGCCAAATCCATACAAATCTTTACCTCGCCCTGGCAGTCCCGTGCTGCCAGTTTTTCAGTGACTGTTTGGTTGGTATAGAGATCGGGCCTCACTGCACTACTCTCGAAATGTGCAAAACGAAAGTGAATCTTGCGCTAGAATATAGAAAGATGCACGACCATGATTTTTGTCTTTTGTGCATGCCGAGAGTAGTGCAGCGAGCACCCATCATCGGTTCGAATCAGGCACACTTTTTTTTTTTTTTTTTTTTTACTTTTCTGAAATGCATGTTTTTTTTTTTTTTGAAGAGTCTGTTTATTTGATTTCTCTAAAGGAATGAACGGGGTCAGGGTCCCCACACTTCAACCTAGAGAGAAACTCTCTCGCAGCATGCTTTTTACGGGACCAATCGGACCCATGAATCTTTCATGAGCTGGTGTTGAAATTGTACTCATATGTCTGTGTCTACGACTCGACCAAATGAGAGAGGAAGTTGCAAACCCTGGTTCTGATTGCAGAGTTGGGATGGTAACTAAGAATAGTGGAAGGTTACAGGTTCACAGAGAGGCAGACTAGTGAAAAGGTTACGGGATCATAGAGGGGAAGCAAGAGCAGAAGTTACAGAACCCTGGTTCTAATTTACAGAGTTGGGGTGTGGGTAACTAAGACTAGTGAAGGGTTATGGGATCGCAGAGAGGGAGCGAGAGGCATACGGAGGGGAGTAGGGTGAAGGAATGGTGAGTGCTGGAATGGGTCAAAGATATGGGTGGGGTGTAGGTTCAAGGGAGAGCAGATCGAGGGGGGAGGGAGGGACACAGGGATGGGGGAAAGGGGTAGAAAGGGCGCCGAAGATCTGAATGGGGAAATTGCTATACTACTGGCTATTATACACTCAGTCCATGCTTGTTTGTTTTCAAAGAAGAGAGCGACACCCCTGCGGACACTCCCCTTCGAAGAGGAGATGCAGACTCGCCTGCAAACCACTTGGAGCGTACTCACACACCACCTACCCTCTCTCTTAAATGCATCTGACCGCAATGACGGCCAAAGCGTGGTGTATATGAACACAATTACAGCTATAAATAAGTAGCCGACACTCCTTTTTTTTTTTTTCTTTTTTTTCTTTCTGAAATGCTTGTTTGTTTTCAAAGAAGAGAGCGACACCCCTGCGGACACTCCCCTTCGAAGAAGAGATGCAGACTCGCCTGCAAACCACTTGGAGCGTACTCACACACCACCTAGCTCTATCTTAAATGCATCTGACCGCAATGACGGCCAAAGTGTGGTGTATATGAACGCAATTACAACCATAAATAAGTAGTAAAAAGTTCTAGTGTGAGGGCATCGCCACACCACTCTCGAAATTTGCAAAATGGGAATGAACTTCCCGCTAGAAGATGGGCAGATGCCCCCGTCACATCTTTGTCTTTTTCACATTTCTCGAGTGGTGTGGCAAGGCCCTGAGTGTGCTCTTAGAGGTTAGATTTGCGTTATCCTCACAAATAGACTAAAAACAGTCACTGATGGGGGTAGGTCTGGGGTAAGGGAGCCAATACCACAAGGACCAATTGATCGTCAGCAGTCAAGATCATCATGCATTCAACCCGAGGGCACACTCACAACTAGGTAGGAGCTTTTCTACTAAGCTCTGGACGTAAGTACGGAAAGATTCGTCCACATCTAATGCAAATGTGGAAAAAGTGAATGTATCTTGCAGGAGAAGTGGCAAAATACATTTTCCATTTTTTTTTTATTTTTTTTTTTAAAGCTTTTTTTTTTTTTCTATATTCTTCTCTCAACTCCTGTTTCTTTACCTTCCACTACCTACTCCTAAGACTATCTAGAGGGGACCCCTGCAAGCATAGTTTCCTCTCTCTGCCCTTGCCCCTAATGGTTAGGGTATAGGGTTGGGGCCACCAGTGGGGGTCTGGCTAACACAAAGACCGAGACCTGCCAGTAGCTGTGCCTCCCTTTCTCATCGTCCCCCACCCTTCATCCAGTAGCCTCATCTCATATATCTCATTTTTCTTGCTAGTACTCATCTATCTCATCCTCTCACTAGTGTATGTGTAGTACGGGGGAACACCAACCAACCCGGATCTCTCCCCAGCCCACGGGGTAGGTTGGCACCACAGCAGTGGTGCGAGAGCAAGGCTGTACCAGTCCCTCATCACAGTGACCAGGGGTGGGCAGGCATTGCCGATGGGGGAAATCGGCGGTGCTAGCACCGAGCAATGGCCAGTCACTGTACCTCCCCCTACCCCTGCCCAAACCCCACATGGCGGTGTCTAATGGCCAATATTGTCGCTGCATAGCAACCAACAACATCAACCATTCACAAGTCCCGGGGAAGGAAGACCATCTACCCAACGAAAAGCGGCAAATGGACTGCAGGCTCACCACAGACCCTGAATTCCTTTACAAATGATTTACCCCCTCCTCCCCGGGTCCCTGCTATGCCCGTGATTTTCCCTGCGTGTCTCTCCAGACAGTTCTGTGCAATCGCCGGTCCGCCGCAGTCCTGGCTGCGCCCCCACGCCCTAGCGTGGTATCAGTAGGGCCGGGCAGTCCGAACAAACAGCTGAATGCTTCCAAACTGTATTTCTGGGAAGATGCAGTAGACGAGAAAGAAAAAACAAACAGACCCATATAGCCCGCCCCCAGTTTTCAATGGGAAAAGCACTCCATGGACAGCGCCCTATTCTGAATCGCAATGACCTTGACAAGGTAACCTGCCCTACAACCGGTCTTACAAGCGACTGAGACTGGAGCCTATTTTCTGCTGCAGGAGACCCCAAACGAACCCGTCCTAGCGAAGCTGTACTGCACGACCTTACCGAAAATAGAAAGAACATGAAACGACGAAAATGGAATCCACACAAGCGCAGCCTCCTGGCTGCGAATTTTGACTCATCTGCTTCCAGTTGAGTTCGAACTCGGGTCTTTCAACAGTTCAGGTGTTTATGTACTGAGGTAGGCCAATTGGTGGCGTCGTGGGGGGGAACGTTTTTTTTTTTTTTTTTCTTGGGGGGGAGCTTTTCGGTCCATGGGTGGAAGGAACTGTTTTTTGTCGGTCGTCGGTTTGTCGTCGTTGTTAGCCGTCGGGGGCGGCGCCTCGGGCCCGGACGCAGGCGTCCTTCGCCGTTTGGCGATCCCGCAGTCTTGTCGCCCGACTCACTTTTCTCTGTTAGCATCTCCCCCTCTTCATTTGGGCGGGGTGCGACATGTGGCCTTGGGTTGGGCTTTCGTCGTTCCGGGTTTAGGCTGGAAGAACGTGCAACAAGCGCTGGTGCTTGATTCTGATCGTCACCGTCATTTTTCCAGCAGTTCTGGTCTCAGCATCGTTGTCACACTCCTTTCTGTATCGGTATGAAAAGGTTCCATGTCTAACCCTCTGTGGACTCCGTTCTCCTAGCTTCCTCATCTTCCTCCTCCTCCCTTCTCTTCCTCCAGCAAGGTTCCTGTCAACCTACCCGTCAGCTACCCCGTTCCCATCCCCTGTCCTCCTCCCCCTAGTCGTCCTCTCCTTTTTTCTCTTCCCTGTTCCTCCTTTTCCAAGGGAACGAAGGTCGTTCTCTTCCACCGCTACCCGCCGACCTTTTTCACTCTCCTCCCCATCACCCTTATCGACTGCTGCTTTGTTTGTCGGCCTGTTTTCCTTTTCTCCCCCCTTTCCGAAGTGGCTAGTTATCCTTCATAGGTAAATTCTCGTCCTCCTCCTCCCTTCGTAGTGCCATGCTCCTTTTCGTTCTAGTCGTTTCTGTATCACTCTTCCTCTGTCCGTCTCCTCTTCCTTCCCTCCCTTCTTTCTCTCCACCTCTTCTCTCCTCTTCTCCTCTTCCCCTTCTCTTCCTTTCTCTCTTCTTCCCCCTTCTTACTTCTCCACCTCCTCTCCTCCTCCTCCTCCTCCTCCTCTCTTCCCCTTCTCTTCCTTTCTCTCTTCTTCTCCCTTCTTACTTCCCTCCCCTTCACCTCCTCTCCGCCTCCTCCCCCTCCTCCTCCTCCTCTCCTCCCTTCTCTCCACCTCCTCTCCACCCTCCTGCCCACCTCCTCTCCTCCTCCTCCTCCTCCCCTTCTCTTCCTTTCTCTTCTTCCCCCTTCTTACTTCCCTTCCCTCCACTCCTCCTCTCCTCCTCCCCTTCTCTTCCTTTCTCTCCTCCTCCCCTTCTTACTTCCCTTCTCTTCCTTTCTCTCTTCTTCCCCCTTCTTACTTTTCCCTCCTCTCCTCCTCCTCTCCTCCTCCCCTTCTCTTCCTTTTTCTCCTCCTTTAGTTACTTCCCTTCTCTCCACCCCCTCCTCCTCCTCCTCTCCTCTTCCCCTTCTCTTCCTTTCTCTCTTCCCCCTTCTACTTCCCTTCCTTCCTCCCCTCCTCCTCTCCTCCTCTCCTCCTCTCCCCCTCTCCTCTCCTTCTCCTCCTTTCTCTCCTCCTCCCCTTCTTACTAATGACCGTGCGTTCTATTTGAGAAAACGACGGTACAGCTGCGTAGTTTAGACGGGGGGAAATTCTCAGCAAGTTTAATGCGTGGTTGTGAGGAGAGCAGAGGCAGTACTCGTGCTCTTTCATCCCTCTTCTCCTGTCCCCTCCGCCTCGTCCGCTTCCTCCGCTTCCTGTGTCCCCTCCGCCTCTTGCAGCTCCTCTTCTCTATCCCCCGGCCCTTCGTCCTCCTCATCCGCTGTTCTCTGTGTGCCTTCGCAGCTTTCCACCTCCTTCTCCTGTGAGCAATTGCCCCCCCCTCTCCTCCCCAAACGGCGCCCCCCTCGTCCCCGCCTTCCGCAACCTCTCCCTACCCGTTTCCCGTCCCTCCCGTGCCTATTTCTGTTCGCTTTTTCCTGTTCACTTCTTCACCTTTTCCTGGCTATCCCCTCTTCTTGTCAGCCTCTTTGTGTCCACCATCTCGTCCCTGCCATCCGTTCGCGATGCTTTTTTTTTCGTTTTCTGAAAGGACAACCTCTTTATATTCTGGGGGGAACCAGTCCGGTTGATTCTTTCGCCGTCGGCCTCCCCTTCTCTCATCCCTCTCCTCCTTGTTTCCTCGTTGCTTGTCGTACTCTTCATCCTCTTGTCCGCTCCCGTCGCCTCCTCGTCTTCCTCTTCTCCTCCCTCCGTTTCCTCTTCCCCTCACTCTTGATGTATTGGAGCCAGTTCGACAAAGGGAGCCTAAGAGGGATGATAATGAGGGAGATCAGGGAGTGAGAGTGTTGACAAAAGGGAGGAGAGAGAGAGAGAGAGAGAGAGAGAGAGAGAGAGAGAGAGAGAGAGAGAGAGAGAGAGAGAGAGAGAGAGAGAGAGAGAGAGAGGGTTACAGGATATGAGAAGAGGAGGATCGAAAGACGTGGTGGAGGAACAGGGGAGGGGAAGGGGATTGGATGACAGGTAAAGCAGGCAGGCAAGGAGGACGAGAGAAGCAGCGAATCTCGAGAAGCCACATATAGGAGGAGAGGGAGAGGTGGAGCAGAGGAGGGGAAGGAGCAGCTGACTTGGTGAAGCTGATGGGAGGAGTTTTGGCTGGCATATATACCACTGCCTCCCGCCGAACACAGCTCACCCTTGGTGAAGCTGATGGGGGGGGACCACAAACAGAAGTGTCAGGGTACCCCACCGATAGGTAGGGGCAAAATGGCAAGGGAAAATGGTGCTTCGATATCTGTACCACCGATAGGTAGGGAGGGGCAAAATGGCAAGAAATCGTACTTCGATATCTGTACGACCGATGGGTAGGGAGGGGCAATAATCGGGAAAAATGGTGCTTCGATATCTTTACCACCGATAGGTAGGGAGGGGCAAAATGGCAGAAATGGTGCTTCGATTTTAGTACCACCGATAGGTAGGCGCAAAATGGCAAAAAATGGTGCTTCGATATCGGTACCACCGAGAGGTAGGGAGGGGCAAAATAGCAAAAAATGGTGCTTCGATATCTGCAACACCGATAGGTAGGGAGGGGCAAAATGACAAAAACGAAATGGTGCTTCGATAAGGCGATGACCTGCTCAGCGCTTGTGCCGGCTACTGCTGTCCAAGCAGGTCATCCCACCAACCAAGGCATGGTAGGAGTGGTGATGGTTAAAAAAAAAATAAAAAAAAAATGGAGGGGTGATGGTTATGAGTGGGATAGACACTAGAGGTACGACAGAGGGATTGCGGGGTGCGCTGAAAGAATTGTCGAAAAGTTGGGGGTGGGTGGGGATTCGAGGAGATATAGACGCCCCTTCCTCCCCCCGCCTCTTCCCCTCCGCGCCTCTTCCCCCCCGCAAAGAAAAAAGCAATGGAAACGGAGAAGTAAAGGTGGTTCGAAAGAAATTCCCGTTGATTGATTGCGCATTTTCTGTTGGAAGGAGGACCACCGTTTTCCCTGGAACACAACGCACCCTCATCCTGAATGTATACGCTGAATGTATACGATGAATGTATAGGATCTATGTTTTCGGTCCGTCTTTTACCCGAATGGAACGCGCGGCCGTTATTGCTGCATCTGATAGACTGAAAGTTGCCCTAAAATCCAGCGGGCTAGCTCAGTTAGTAAGGCACGCAAGTGGCGTTCAGGAGGTCCTGGGTTCAATTCCCATTGGCCTCATGTACCTTCCTGGGCAAGCTTGGCGCCCGCCAGCTAGAAAGAGGCCGTTGATCCCCCCGAGTGGCATCGAGCAGAGACTGCTGATGTTCATAGGGGTAGGGAACCGGAAGGGAGGCACGGCGACTGGCCCATCGAAGAAGCTCGGTCTTGATGCTACCGGCTGACCCCTGACCGGTATCGCCCACCTGCTGGTGGATGCAGCTCCCGCATGTTCCCTTGTTGGAGGCTTGATCACGGATGTGGCTGCCACGGGGTTCCCCGTAATACTAAAATGACTATTGAAAAGGCCTGAAAGGCCGTCTTGTCCAGATTCGACAGGTAATTAAATTGGTTGGGCTTAAAAGAATTAGCCTCTACGCACGCTAGACCTTTCTGACGGCATGGCGGAAACCACGCGAGGAATTAAGGCGCACGGGTGCCAGGTGGGGCGAGACCTTGACGGGCTCTCGGCTATGGCTGACCCCAGCCGGGTTACACTGGTATTCCTGGTTGGTCATGTAGGGTGGTGTCTATGTGGGGGAGACCAATGGGTGGGTCCGATTGCGGCAGCATACCATACATGTAACCTGATCGGGAGGGCAGCTGTCCGTCGGTCATAAGATACGAGAACAATGGAGTTTCCGTTTGAGGCGGGTGTGAGGGAGGCTTTGTCGTTTTAGGCGAACGCTGTTCCTCTTGTTTTTGTGGCTGAGCGTGGTCGATGGCAGGTGCTGACTGGCGTTCGTGGACGGTGCGGTTTCTTTTGGCGGCCTCTTCTGGTTACTACTGGCTTGAGTTGCCGTCGAGTTCACTGCCTTTTTTCCCGGAGCCTTATGGCGGTTGCTCCAGTTCATTCTTGTGATTGAGCTGGTTACCTTCGTGCGAGGAGCTCCGCCAAGTTCAGCTGGCTGCCATCATGCGTGGAGATTCACAGATGTACCAGTATGGTGGTTGTTTTCGTTGTGCCGTGTCACCTGCAGAGGCTCTCCCCTGTTGGAATATGGCTGGTGAGCTGGCTTGCTCGCTATCTGCGTGGGAAGACTGCGGGAGATTGCTGGTTTGCTTGCTAATTGAGAGCGGCTGTTCTGTTGGAGTGGCTTGGGAAGTCGGCTTGCTCCCTATCTTAAAAGCGAGTGGGCCGTTGTGACTGCCTTGATTGGTTGCGCAAAAAGATGTTGGAATTGTGGATCTTCCAGCGGAGATGACCACGTTCACATTCAAAAGAGAGAGAGAGAGAGAGAGAGAGAGAGAGAGAGAGAGAGAGAGAGAGAGAG